CTTGAAGGATAATTACAAGTGAATCAAGGAAACAAGTCAGACTGAATCAGCCATGTGCCATTCTGTTTGTCTTTCCTCAAAATTAATAAAACTAACAGGATTTCACCGCATGCTCGAGTCTAAAACAAACTAACTCTTTTCTGTTGGTTTTTATTTCGCAAATTAAAGATTTAATTACAATCTGTACAAATTTGTTTTTTTTTTGTATGTGTACATGTAGTTTTGGCAGGTAAACCGAGACATCAATAGTGGCTGGCATCCTATAACTAATCGCATCAGTGACGAAATTTCCTTTAATTCCTCGCGTGTTTGCGCCCACGCGCGCGTTTTCGCTTTCGATCATCGCTCCAGCTATCTGCTCAAGCGAGCGCCTGATACTCAGTCATACTCTCATGGAGTTTGCAAATGAACAGCATGGAATTTATCGCATTGGCAACTTTTCAAATTGGCGCCATTTTGGAAAGTGAGAGAAGACCCTGGAGACGAGAGTGTCAGAGTTCCGGCTGTGCCGATGTCATTGGTCAGTGTAGTTGCTAAGCAACGTGAAGCATATTTAGTCGAGTTTTTCACTGGTTTTCTTGTTTATTTTGACATCCTGAGAATGAAGCCGTAAATAACTTTTTGCAGATATCAGATCAGAACTCCCAGGCAAACGTTAATTCAACACTTTTAAGTAATCTGCAAGAATACCGTTAGGTTTGTCAAATAAACTTTTAGCCCGTTGCCATGTCTGTCGGAACTTACTATATACAACTAGGCAAGTAAAGACGACTGCTTACCCTTTTACAAAATAATGCAAGGACGGAAAAATAATTATTTTAAAAATAAAGAGTATTTTACATTTATGAAAAAAGACATAAATATGTTTAGTTTTTTTTTTTGGAAGTAAGCAATCAGCAACTAATTTCGCTCTTGGAACAGACCGCTAATTGTACTCGCTGACCATTCACATTTGCCCATGTGAGGCATTTCTCAAGATCAACGAAAGACAGCTTCTTTCGTCACGTTACACGTCTTT